GCCTTATGTTGGACACCCCTGAATTGATGTATACGTCCCACAAGTGTTGATGACTCTGCTTTTTCCTTTCTACAAATCCACTCTCTCTGAGGCTTGTTGCTGTGTTTAAGCTGCTTTAGCCTGTCCACAGTTTCAGCACATCTGCAAGCTGCTTTACAACCCACCTCTGCCTCAGCTCTGCCTTTAAAGCTCTATCTAACTAAATTAATCAACCTGTTGTTACCGATGCCTGCTCTGTATATTACGTATGCGAGTTAAAAGGTAGTGAGGTACCAGAACAGAGCTATTCCACCAAGTGTAAATGACTGCAGATTAAAATATGACTCTCCTTCAAACCACTAGAACGAACTGTTTCTGTGATGACTGACCAATGCTGCCAAGACACAGAGCTAGCTTTGACAAACACTCACTTTACACTTGCTGTGTACCAATTATACACTCATTTGATGACTTCTTATGCGCGAGGGTAAAAGTACGAGACCACAGCGCATAATTAAGTGATTTAGGTCATGATGTACAGCGTACCTCTGCTCCTGAGGTGTGCCTTTGAAAGCATGAGGAACAGACAAATGAAGCCGCGTGGAAAGCATGCACCCCGCCGCGTCCCAAATGGGCTTGATGTTTGGCCCGCTTTTAAGTTCTCAATCACACAATTTACCTCAATTTACCCCCCGCAGCGACTATCCTTCCCTTTCATCCCAAAGATTTATCACTGTACGTACCCGTGGCACAAGGTGTCTTTTACTGCAAATAAAGCACATACTTGAACACATAGGCACATCCAGGCAGATGGGCTAAGTAATTGAAGGTAAGTGTTTAAGCTGCGTGTGCCTGCGTGTGTATTTGACTTGATCTGAATAGACGGAAGCATAAGACGAAGACTTCTTTATTCCCATCAGAAAGGAGAGGAGAAACCAACATGAAAAGAACGAGTAAGAGAGAAATTTAGAGAGGGAGATGGAGTAGGAAGAGCTAAGGACAAGTAAGCAAAAGCAAAGAGTAGGAGGTGAGCGAAATAGATAGGGAGACTGAAAAAGCAAGAAAGTCAAAGCTTGTCTTTTAGTGGTTTTTCCCCTGGCCCATCAAAGGAAGCCAATTTCTCCAGAGGAAAGCGGAATAGGTTGGAATACCAATACGGCACACACACAAACACACTGGGAAGGGAATGGAGGTGAAACATAATCAAAACTGCCTCATAGCGAAGGCGAGATCTACGAAAAAAAAAAGACAAAGAGGGCATATGACAAGCATCTGTTCTAGGAAAAAGGGAAGGGCCTAGAAGGAGAGCGAGAGACAAGAGAGACTGACTGTGTTTGATACTACGAAGAATGGAAGGTCAAAGGATACACAGGCACTTGTGTTTTTTGAGGTCTGACAGATCAAACGCAGGGCGATGCATGGGGAATGACAAGCAGACAAGCGCATGCACGCACACAGGCACAGGCACTTAAAAAAAGGCTGCAGGATCACCTTTTTTCCCTCTCAGTTTTTGAATCCGTCTTAAGTTAGCCTCTGCTAGAAAACTAGTCAAATAAACGATTCTCTCATTTCTAAGTGTGCTCTATCTAAACCCCTCAAACTGTCCCTGAACTCGTCATCGTGTCAATTTGTCTAACAGAATTGTCTAAATTGGTGGCGGTTAGGTGTGTGATGAGATTAAGGGTTTATTTCATAATATGGAAGGATGCTACAATAAGGGGAAATGAAAAGAGGAAACGCCCACACAAACAGACACGCTGAAAAACACTAAACGTAACACATCGGGCCCGAGGCTACTGGCTCACACAGATGCCCTGCCCCAGATAGATATAGTGATATTTTGATGCAGTCGGAGGAGAGAATAAAACGGAGTGCAGATTAGAAAGAGCGAGTGCGCTGAGGCTCTGCTGTATATGGCCAGGCTCCCCTGGGCAGATTGGCTACCATGTGATGGAGAAGATAGCTATTTTGAGCTCAGGAAGTTTAACCTACTTATCTCCTCTCACTCCTCCTCCCCACCCCCTCCTACCTATCCTGCTACCACCCACTCCCTCACTTCATCTCCCTCTCTTTGGCTCTCATTCTTCCCCTATTTTTTTCCTCCCCCCTACATTCAGACCTGCTCCTCACTAGTGGCTTTCCATGTCCACCTGCACCAAAAGGCCCGTTTTCCATTAACTCTTCTTACAACTTTCCCACTGGAAGAAAAATGTGAATATTGAACTTAGCTGGCAAAAGTAGTCTTCCTATGACTGATTAGACAACTTCTGTTTAACATGTATCCTTGTGTTAAGTTATCACTGTACAAATACTGCAGCTGGTTGGTGATGTGCTTAAAGTGCACAAAATTAATAACTATATGAACAATAAAGGGCACCACCAAACGGGAGAATTTATCCAGTATTTATTACAAAAACTTCACTTATCTGTATGTGTGTTTCTAGTGCTGAATTCCAAAGTAGCATGATCAGATTAAGCTTTTCAGTACTGCAGTAAACACAGTGATTATGTTACAGTTTTCAGATACAATCTACACGCTGGGCAGATGGAAAGAAAAAGAACATCCTTGCAAGCACCTGCTAGAGCTGAGCAGACTGATCTGAATAATGATAGCACTGATACCACCACTGATATTGGTATCAGATCAATACTAGCGCAGTGGGATCAATACTTTGTTTCTGTCCTCTAAGTTCAGTATGCAACCCACTGACGTGTGTTAAACAAAAAATGTTTTCTTCTTAGAAATAAAGAAATATCCTTCAAACATGCATAATGAAAAATCACTGAACCTTTTTGTGTTGACTGTCAATTTTATTTTATTTTTAGCATATAGCACAATTAAAGAACAGAGGTTGAGCCAAGTACTTTAGAGACAGGCACATTCACATCTTCAGAAGACACGAAAAGCTTCTGTCCTCTTAACTAATTGTAGTGGAGAGCAGAAATCACAGTGATTTAGCGGCTAGTGAAATGTGTTCAGAATTTGCAAATCATGACACAATGCTTGCCTCTACAAAAGCTGCCTTTATTCTGGCCCTGTATCGGATCAATACCAAAATCTGCAGTATCAAACAGCCCTACCATCTACACAGACAAACGTGCTGACACAAAACTAGCCAAGAGCCTGGAGAGATGATGAAGCTGAGTGCAAGCTGACCCCAGTACAGCAGCCAGACCCTGATCTACAAAGGGCGACAAAAGCTATATTTCATATTCAGTGACACTGAACACATTAGTGTTTGGTCCCCATCTATAAATTTCCTTCACTACACATCTTACTAGTCTTAGCTAACATGGAAATTAATTACTACTGGTGTGTCTGGCAGGTGACATCACTATAATAGTTCTGCTTATATTACATGTAATATAATACAAGATTGTTAAATTTGTTCTAGCAACAGTTAATTATCGCCTGACTTTGAATTTTAAATGTTTAATTTTGGGAAGGAAAACCTATTGAGTGATGGCAGGAAACAGGCTTAAGCTATCCATTCATTCCCCCTATAATGGATGTACTGCAGCAAAATCAATAATCAATATGTGCACATTTATTATTTGTTAATGAGAACATATTGAGTATTCATTACCACTTACAGCATTTATATTTTTGCAGTCCTCCCATGTAGGGTCTGAAAATACTAGGCCCCTTGTGAAAAGTGGGGAAAAAATGACATTTTCAATTCGAGGCAGTCACTTGCCCCTTTTATTCCCACACAGGTACATACAAACTCAACAGTACACCCAGGCACACTGTGCCACTACATCGAAGGTAAAACTCTTTTGCTAATCTAGCAATCCTGCTGCTCAGTTGCCTGTTTTGCTGCCATAGCACTAGTTACATACTCACTGCAAAATACTTCAAATTGAGTCTTTTTTATTTTATTTTTGCAAACCCTCGAGGTTTCAACTTAACTGACTCTGACTTCAGTTGCCTCGAGAGAAACCAAAAGCCTGCTTGAGCTTGGAGTGCTGACGCCGTGTCACAAAGCGAAGCCTTTTCCTTACGTGTTGCCGTTTTTGCATAATGTTCAAGGTTTGTGATGTTTGTTGATGCAAAATGCAGAACGCGAGCAAGAAAATGAAAGGCCTTCAAGACAACGGGCAAACAAAAAGCCAGTTGCACCAAGACACATTTTTTGCTCAAGGGATCTTGTGGACCAAATTTGTATTTCACATTTAAAAAATTCAGTCAAAACCAACGCCTCCAACACATTCTGACCCTCTAATTATATTAAGAAAAACACACACTTTCCACTCAGTTTTGAATATCTATTTAACAAGTCTTTGCCCTGCCCACGCTCAGGCATTATGCATCTTTAGACAAACACGCAACTAAATCATTACACCTGTTTATTCATAATTTCCTGTGTCATCGCTGTCACTTGGCTAACCCTTCATTAATGTGACAAAGGATTAAAAGATTTTAATGCAATTCTATGCCGAGTCCCTCATAAATTTTAGCGCCCCCTCATCCTTTAATTACATCTGACAAGTGCGACATATTTGCATACCATAACCTTGCAGTCTCGCTTGGTCTAGGTCAGGCCTTGTTTTCTCTCCAAACACTGCTGCCAGTTAAATTATAATAAGTTAAAATATGAGTCGCCACCTTGAAGCACTTCAGTCATCCCTATCGTCTTTTCCACAGTCAAATCAAGCACGGTGGCCATTATTAGTCTAAATAATAGGCCCTGTTCTGAAATGTTTCCATTCTGATTAGGTGCCTCGAGCACTGATGATAACAGACGAAAAAGACTCGATTTATCTCAGGCAAAGCCAATCATTTCATAAGAATGATTGGGCCAAATGCAGTTAGCGTGGCAGGTAGAAGAAGCTCTGAGAAATCCTTTACAGCAGAAAGACATCAGTTCGGTTATTGTTATTTGGAGCGACTTACTTTGATTCAGTAATTGGCTCATAAATAAGTTAAAGAAAATGAGAAAATCCCTCTTTCTGTTTCTCCTCCTCGCTCAAGTCGAGTGTGTTTGCTTGTGCGCTCATCTGTGCTGACTAAACCAAAGTCTCAGGTGCTGTTGTGAACCGCTGACCTCTCTTGTCCATTCATATTTCTGGATGCCTGCTTAGGCAAGCTCAGTGTATTTGAATGCAAGTTCGGAGAGGCACCTGAAAGCTGCTATTAGCTTTAATGTCAACACAACTTGAGCACCGGCTTTATGGGCTGACAAATGCGAAGGGGAAAAAAACGTGGAAGTCACATTATTGACTGGAGGTGCAAAACGTTAAACTGACTTTTATAAAGCCAGTACCTCCCTCAGCTCCAAATCCCGTGATCTCCGTGAGCTCTGCGCAGGCAAAGAGTCCAGACGTATCCGTGGGGTTTGTGTGTTCCCACTGGAGTCATCTTAAGAATTAAGTGGCTTGGTCTTTTAGTATTCCTTCATGACCTAACTCAATCAAATCCTCCTCCTCTCCCTCTCTCTTTCTCGCTTGTCTGTGTCGCTAAAGTAAAAAAAACAACAAAAAAAACCTCTGTCTCGTGTCTGATAGCGAAAGGTCTCTATAGACACTCAAACACGCAGGACACACACATACACACACGGAAATCTCAGAGGCTATAGAAAGTAAACAGGATTAACTGGCTATCCCTCACTCCACTGTAAACGGCCTGTAATGGCACCACTGCTTCTAAATCCCTCCACCTACCCCCCAACCCCCACTCCCGCTGCCTCCCTTTTCTATTAAACATGGAGGTTAATCCTCAGCCCCCCTTGTCCCTCGCGCCGTAACCCAGGATAAGCTGTCAGAGCTGGGCTGCTGATACTCAGCACTGCTCCAACAGCCACACAGCCTGGACAGAGCATATGAGTGCATCTTTGTCTGTGTGTGTGTGTGTGTGTGTTGAGCATCTGTGTGCGCGTTTTCATTCGCCCAGACTTACATGCATGCATGCAGGCTTGTGCATGTTAAGTGTTTTTAAGTGCATACCACCATATATCAGTGTGTTCGCATGTCTGAATGTTGCTCTTTCTTTCTTTCTTTCTTGCTTTTTTTATTTATTGCCAAATTCAATTTGCCTCTCTCTCTTCTTTTTACACAACCCAATCTCCACTGGAGTAAAAAGCTAACTCTGGAGCACCCTAAAGCAACAAAGTGCACTCAGCACCAGCAGCAACAGCTCCTGACTGAGAGCCATTGACACAAAAACACTAACCCACACACCTTCTGGTCCTGTGCACTGGGTCTAAATGGCAGCACTGGGGGCTGACTGATGAATCACTAATGACTAGCACACTCTTCACAGATGTCACAAATGTAAAAAAAAGTCAATGTTTTTTTTTTTTTGTTTCCCCCCTCTCCTGGCCCTCTATCAGTAAACTCGGTCGACCTGCTTGCTGTGTGGCGAGGGAAAAGTCAATACTGTACGGCTGGAAGAGGAGTCGCAGGAACCAGAAACAGTGGCCGGAATGACCCGTTCAGCTTATAGGTCAAATCTATTGTGTTTTCCATATTATGGGGAGTTAATGTTTCCCTGGGGTCTGAAATGGCTTCCAGACCCCTGTGAAGTAATTCAAGCTCTGAGGTACAAAAATAATGAATAACTGCAGTTCCTTACCTGAAGGCCATCCCCTTATTTTGACCCTCTTTACAGTTAATAGAAGGGAGAAATAGAACAGAAGGGAATAATAATACTAATAAATCCTAAAGCAGGACACGGAAATCTTGAGGCTTACAAACCAGCTGATTATCTCAGGTTTACGCAATTTACTGAGTCCTTCCTTTAAAACAGGGAGGTCATCTAAAAGTTGCGACGCCAGTCAGTGTCACTACTGTCAACTTGGCTTATCCATGTTTGCGTTGGATTAAATGACTTTATCCGTCTCAGGAAACGTTCAAGGCAGCTGTCACTTGCACGGCTTCATCCAAGGTTGGGGATAACAAGAAACAGAAGTGAATGTGACTGTGACAGGAGTTTTTCAATGCCGTGTATGCACTGGCAACTAGATGCTACCCAACAGTGGGATTCTTGTAACTATGCTGTTAAGAAGACTAAAAATGCATTCAGCTTAAATAAACTCAATTAGATGTTCTCATTTCTCAGTTTTCAATGAGGGCGGCAACCATGAAACCCTTTATTTCCTCCCTTCTTTTTCCTTGAGACTGAAGCATTTATAATATGCTGCAACTCACTACAATATTCTGCCTCTAACTTAATTTTTCTTTAGAGCAATGGCATCAGAGGCACATTTGGTATGCAGTAATATTTGCTATAAAAAAGGGGTGTAACATTAGCCAGGGGGATGTATAAGAAACTTACCTCCAATATTCATACTCTTTTAACTGTATTTGTTTCTTTTTGGCGCGACCAGGTAGGGGTACTGATGAATTCCAATTTTTTTTTTGTTCCCAATGTTTGATGTTCTTCTGCTGACAAAAGCTATGCTAAGTACAGTACGGATTTTTCAGAGCTTTTTTGTGGGAAGCACTGACCTGCCATTGCTGTAAACAGTAAAGCAGATGGCCTGGCAGCTAAACAATGAGCTGATAGAAATGCATTTTATAAAAAAAGAAAAAAAGCAAAGGGTAAATGCACGGCATCGGTGAGCACAATACAGAAGCAATGCGTTATGCCGAACAGGGCCACATAAGTGCACGGCTCTTTATCTCTGCAATGCTGGTTGTTAATGCATTACAGGTGAGTGCAGAAAACATCCACTTTCCATCTCTCTGGCCCTCTCTCTCTCCCTAAGCTGCCTGCGAGCCGAGACCAGACTACCTTTTCTGTTTGGTTGAACATTTCCTCCACCCTCCAAATCCTCTGTTCCTTACAATCACTTTCCATTTCTGTGACACACACAGTTATTCTCCAGCGCTTACTAGAGAACTAACCATTAAAAGAGAGAATCACAAAAGAGATTTTAATGTGTGACAAAAATGTACCCAAACCTCATCTCCTTTTGCTCCTTTGAATATTTTAAGCAACCGGTCTTCTCGTGGGCTTTGAGTACAAGTAATCAGAGAGGCAAATTAAGAGCCAAAGCCAAGGGGGAGCAGTTTGTGACCACAGGGTAGGGGTCAGAGCTGCAGCATAAAGTGAGAATGAAAACTGAAAATGTTAACAAGGTGAACAGGGGTAAAAAAGAAGTGACAAGGGGGGTCTTACAAGAGATTCGCAGGTAAAAAAAAAACAGCTAAAAGGAATAAGGGAAGCAAGAAAATGGGTAAAAATAATGAATTAGAGGTAAGGTGTAAAATAAATGGGGTGATAGTGTGAGGTGTTACACAGTGAGAGAATTAGGGTCCTTTGGGTGGATCTACGAGGAAGGTGATCAGGTATTTAGATAACCATTAGAGCAGGAGAACAGGTCAGTGAATCAGAATGTGCATTACCATTAACTGCTAAAAAGCCCGCTTTTGTCACGTCAAACACACACTGTGAGCCACGTGAACTATTTATAGAGGAACACGTTATGTGCTCCAGGCAAAAAAAAAAAAAAAAGTCACACAGAGACACAATAAAATCTCTTCCTTCCTCCCGTCGCCTCGCCTCTCTCACATCACACGGGACTGTAAGAGTCCGACCTTCATCAAGTTTAAGCTCAAAAACAAACAAACAAAAATAAACCCCAAACTTGCGTAATGGGAAGAATGACAGCCAGTCAACATATAATTAGACAAACACACAGTGATCAAAATAGCCATTTATACAGTACTGTGTCACAGTTATAAAACTGACAGCCCCACTCAGGCTGCGCTCATTGTTATGAAGTAAGACATCTCACATAAAGCTCTGCTAGTCATGCCAGCCTCACCCATCCATATCCTTCTGTTAACTCAATAAATGACTTAAGAGACGTAGTTCTCGGTGATATGTCTGACGGGGATAGTGGCTGGAGTCTGCGTACAGAAAATCAGCTCACTGACCTACGCTCCCTCTCCTCCTGGTAGTAGTTGCCTCGTTAACACCCCAAAGTCCCACAGAGTACATCAGGCTTTGCATAGGTGACTCACCGGGTCTTTAGCTTGCTGCGCTAACACGGCGTAGGTGGATATTCTGCTGCACAGGCATTTGGTATGGACAGCGGTTGACGCGAGCGTTTGGCAGCCTTCTGTGCCCCAGTTTTCTGCGCCAGCTTCCCTGGAGGTGGAGAGAAGGGTGGGGTGGGGGGGGTTGGTAGAGAGGGTGTGGGGAGGTGGCACATGGGACATAGACAGTGACTGTGAGACACATAAAAATAAAACTGTCACATGACTACACATGGATACAGGAGGTGAAAAAAAAAAAGCCCAACAACTTGTGAAAAGGGGACAGAAAGTTTTAACGGACTGGTTCCTCCCAGTCGAGCTCCCCGAGCTCAGCCATTCACGGCACATACGTTTAACATTCAGCGATCGGCACTCGGGCACCGCCATGCTCTTTTACTCCTTTACAGCATCACCCCACTTGTCCTTCTCCGTGTTCAGCAACCTAAACACTTTCTTTCACGTCTTTGTTCATCCTTTTTTTTTCTTTCTTCCTTTTATCTATCCCATCTCCCTTTACATGGAAGAATGCCCTTAGAGTCTGGGGGAAAAATGAAAAGGATTGCATCGGCGAAAAGTTAACAAAAACCAGTGAGGCCTAAATGGTGTATGGGGCTTATGTGGAACTAAATGGTCAATTGCTTTGACACCTAACACATTACTGCAAAGGAAGCATGCGGCCAGAATCTCGTACAATAGAACCTTGAACGCTTTATTGCTTGGGATCTTTACCGTCTTTTTTGGCCACCCGTTGCCTCCCTCCTTCCCACCCTTTTACTTTTCTATAAAAGCTCCCAACGGAAGGTCGAGTGTGGAGGTCAATCAATAAGAAGTGAACTAATTACCCTGAGAGTTCACACTGCACATTAACCTTACGATTAACCCTGGATATACTTTTATTTCAGTTGCCAGAGACAGGTGAAAGCCATAGAGATGTTCTAATGGGGTCAAGAAGGCCAGCTTCATGACTTACGGCAAAAGAAGGAGCAAGTAATGTGTCAGTGAGAAATATTTTTGTTTCTTTTTCTCCTCTGTCCCTTTCTCTGTGTTTTGAAGCGGGTGTGGCAACGTCCAGGATTTAAAGTAGAAACATCAGAGCTGATGACAGTTAGAGTGGGTTCAGTTTCATTGTTAATCCAGTCTGATCAGGCCGTAGGCAAATAGTCGCAATAAAGCAGATTAAGTGAGTATAAAACTTTTAGAAATGTCACCTCAAGATTTGAAACAGCATGAACGTTTGCTAAACTTTCATGTTTTGTCATGAATATTTTAGGTTATAGTAAAATACTTCGCAGGCTATATTCAATGTAGCATGCAAACATATGGAGTAGGTGTATAGGATTTTTTTTTCTTTAACCAAAGCCTCAAAAACCTTTTGCACAGATATCTGACAAACTGTACTTTCCAAAGTACAGCCTTTTGTTGTAGCATGTAGGCACAACAATCTGACCACAAGAGACTCGGTTTGATTTCAAGCAGCAGTGGCCTGCTTGAAAAAGAAAAAAAAAATCAATTATTTGAAGCTAAAGACAACTCCTGTTACTGTGGTAATAGTTGCCAGTTTCAAAACAAGGATCTTTAGCAGGGGAAGAAGGGGATCTATGTGAGAACAAATGCTTCCCAGCAGGGATTTTGGGTGATGAAAATGTACCTAGCGACTCATCTTTGTGAACGAAAACACTCTGTACTTGATATCTTTATCACGGTAACAAATAAATTTCCACCAATTTAGAAACCAATTTAAAATGTCCATTTTTTGAAAATCATTTTGTTAGTTAGCACACAACACAAACTTTGTGCTGCTCATTTTGTTCTATACACATTTATGGAGTGGGAGGAAAGATAAAACACAACTGGAGAGGTATATGCTGTTCTTTCTCTTCTGCTTTAGTGAAGAACTTAATTACCTCATTCCAAACTAATGGCATTGAGTACCCTCAGCAGTGGATGGAGAGAAAATTTAATAAAGCGTTGGCTGTTTCAGGACATCTATTTATTAGGATTTATATATACAGCCTATATATTTGAAAGTTATTAAATATGCAGAAATCTATAGTTTAGAATGAAATTATTATCCCCTTGTGAAACTTAAAGTTTTGTAAACATTTCCCCATGTTTTTTAATATAACAATATTTCTACTTGCAGACAATAACAGAATTATTGTCGATGGGTCAATGTTATCATCCCCCTGAAAAACTGACCTTTTATTGAGCCGTGGCACAAACCACTGCTGCAATAATGTGCGTTATCTTTGTAATGCTCTAAGCTTGTAAAATCAAGTTAAATGAAGTTAAAACTTTTTCCACATAGTACAAAAACTTAAGCAAGGGTTTGAGCTGCCACTTGAGAAAAAACTAAATTAATCAGTATAGACTTAATAAAAACAATTGTTGATGCTCACAAAGCAGGAGACGGATAAACAAAGTTATCACAGTGTTTCAAGAACTGTAGTGAGAAGTATCATCAAGAAGTTGAAAGAGAGCCACACAGTGCAGAACAAGCCGGGCAGAAGTAGGAAACAAATCACAGACTCTGAAAAGAAAACTAGTGAGATGTGTCCAAAAACAACAGAACTACCAAGACACGAGGAAATGACTTAGTCAAGCTGGGAACTGCGGTCTCAAAAAAGACCATCAGTAGGACCGTGAACAGGACTGGACTTTGAAGTCTCAGACCAGGAAAAACGCCACTTCAAGCCAGAGTGAAGGATGCCGAGTACAAGCTGAAGAAGGATCATGCAAACTGGAAGCACATCCTTTGTTCAGATGAGAATAAACTAGACTAAACTACTGCCTGTGCTGGAGAAAGAGGGAAGAGGTGTAAAACCCAAAACAGAACAGCGTCTCTACAGTGAAACACGGTGGTGGCAGTATTATGTTGTGGGGACGCTTGAAATGGGAATCTGGTCAAGGTGGAAGGAATCGGAAATGTGAAGATTCTGAAAGTAAACCTCCAGTAGTCTGCAGCAAACCTGAGTCTGAGTTGTTGCTTTGTCTTCCAACACGACAACAACCTTGATGAACTACCTCCAGAAGGCCAAAGAGAATGTTACTGACTGGCTTAGGCAAAGCCCTGACTTGAATCAGTGACAATCTGTGGGCTGAACTGAAGGCCATGACATCTGGAGGAGCATGAGAGAGCAAATGACTGCAGGCTGTTATCCAGCAAAAAGGATACACAACTGACTATTAGGCCTCACAGGGACTGATTTTGACTCTTGTAGTTTTTTGTTTTTGTGACATACTTTTTTTGTCTATGTGCAAAGTATCAAAAAGCTGAGATGTTTGGAAAAGTCCTTTCTCTCTTTAACAGCACTTGGGAAATGCTTTGACTGTAAAATCTCTATATCTTTAACAATTAAAAATTTAAATGAGAGGAAGCTTGGCTGACAGCTTCACTTCAATAAAATTAACAAGCTGTTTTGATTAGTTTTGTCTTTATGGTATCTTAGCTTTTTATCCAACCTTTGGGGAAATAACAGAAGGATAGCTTTCAAAGAGGAATTCAACGATACTCCTCTGTGATGCCCGCTTAACACAGCTCTGTTGCACAAAACTCTGGATTTGAGAGCATAAATGAATGAAATAAACAAACACGCTGAATGGTTTCTGGTTCAAGTTAAGAAAACTTTACTGTTGCTTTTATACCCGTCCATCAAAAAAAAAGCAAACAGACAGTTAAAAAGTTACATGCTCTGCTTGCCACTTACATCACGTTAACTGCAGATCAGTAAATACCACTCAAGGCTATTTCTGCTCTGACAGGCCACTTATATATGATCAGTTTGACTGTAAATGACAAGAGTGTATCAACATTAACCCTCAAAAGTATGTCTGAACATGAAGGACTGCAAACAGGATCATAAACGAGACACATGCACACAGACATACACTGACACTCAAATCAAAATGTCACTAATAAGATGTGAGTACAATCCCCTGATGATCATCATCTGCACTATGACACTTCAAAGACTAAGGATCAGAAAAAGAGTTACAGCAGTGAAGCTTAGAGACAGCTTGACAGGTATCAACATGGTGCAGGGCTTTGTGTGTTTTTGTGTGTGTTTGAGAGAGCGACAGATAGAGGAAGATTTAAAAAAAGACAAGGCGAGAGAGCAAAAGAATAGCAAGGATGAGGAAATATGTGTGTGGTATTTTTGCTGCTTTGGCTTGTGTATACGTCATTTATTTTACCGACCACTGTAGCTGAATAAGGCCCAGTCACAGAAGCCTAGATGGTCTAACTGGTCATGAGGTAAAAATGAGCATTCCCTGGCTGGTTGCTAGTGCTTGCTGAAGAGAAAATGATCGCTAAAGCTCCAATCACACAGACCTACAGTAACCCCCTAGCAACCACCTGTTTGTCAGTGGAAAACGTATGCTTCTCAACCAGTCAGGAAAAAAATTGAAGATACTCCTTGTGACGGCTTTGTTCACTATGAAAGTGTTGGATTTGTCTACAAGCACGGGCCAGCTACTCTCCGAGCTGTCCTGCCCTAAACAGCCTCCCACTGGTGTCTCGTCACACCCCTGAGCAAATATATATTTTTGCCTCTGCTCTTTGTCTGACTTTCTGTTTATCCTGCTGTTTGCCATGTTGTGTCCTGCCTCATTCTTACATATTCCCCTGAGTTTTGGTTTGTCCTTTTATTATTATTATCAATTTTTTTGTTGGCTTTATCCTGCTTTTCCCTGCAGTGTCCTTTGGTCACAGTCTTTGTAAGTTTATTAAAATATATTTGGTTTATTTTATCTTGCATTGGAATCCTGATATTTGCAAGAAAACAACGGAAAAACATTTCTTAATAGGCAAACGTCCATCTGCAACCCATTTCTGACATTTCACTAATTACCATGGTTATACATCCCACAACAATGACTAGCTGACCACTTTTACAGATCTAATTTGTTGAGGAACTATATTTTTGAACTCTAAAAGGTTGCACTACGTGTTGGGAAATTATGCTAACACACAAATCGACATTTTTTTCATAGTCATATGTGCTCGTTAGCTTATATATGACCTCCCAAATGATGTCCAGTTAAGTACTTCCAAACGGCTTTGCTCACATAAGTACAGGGACGTGAAGTGTTACATGTTTTTAATGGTTA